TTTCTGGTGTTTGGGCCTGTTTAAATAGGCATTTCCTCCAGAAAATAGCAGTTAATCAGTCTAAGCCATCACCATATCTGTAGATTTATAAAATAATGGTTCATATGCATTAGAAGACAACTGCACAAACTGAGATCTAGCAGTGATTCCTCTTTTCTTTTTGAGACAGGGTCTCTCTACCTGCTATATAGTCAAGGATGGCTTTGAGCTCTTGATCCTTCTTTCCTCCATTTCCCAAGTGCTGGGATTACAGTCTTGTGTTAAAGCTATTAGATCAGTGTGGACAGTTTGTGCAGAGGTATTAAAAGTTAAATGGGAAGAAAAGGGTAGTAATAAATATCCACACTGAGATGGAACAGTGCTCCATGTTAAAGATGGATAAAGTGCTCTGTGGACCCAAAAGAGGGCACTGGGCTGGTTAGTAGCAGTAATGATGTCTTAGAATACATCTCCTAGGCAAGCACCTTGGGTACATCAGCTCTTTTTTGACGAACAAAGCTGCAAAACACATTATTTTTCCTTGGGGACAGATTTCTACCTAAATGGATAAATTTAGGTTCATGTTTTAATCATCATTGCAGGGCATTGGTGGTACATGCCTTTAAAAATCCTAGGCAGGCGCATCTCTGTGAGTTCGAGACAAGCCTGGTCTACAAGAGCTAGTTCCAGGACAGCCTCCAAAGACACAGAGAAACCCTGTCTCAAAAATCCAAAAACTAAACCAAACCAAAACAAAAACAACAACAAAACCCCTCCAAAATAATCATCATCCAGTAGGAGAAAGGGTCACTGTAGTATGATTGGAATCACATCTGGGTAGTATTCGTAGTAGTTGCTATGTCACTATTGTGTTGCTCTATTTTTCTTGAGACAAAAACGTTTTATGTTTATTTATGCTGAGCAGTGGTGGGGCACGCCTTTAATCCCAGCACTTGGGAGACAGAGGCAGGTGGATCTCTGTGAGGTCAAGGCCAGCCAGAGTTTCAGGCCAGCCAGGGCTGCTATACAGAGAACCCTGTCTCAAAAACCAAACCAAACCAAACCAAAAATGCCTACTTACTTTTTTGTTATGGGAGTTTTGCCTGCATGCACCTCTATTCATCACATGTGTGCCTGGTGCTCAAAATGGCCAAAAGGGGACATGAGGCCCTATGGCACTGGAACTATAGATGGTTGTGAGCCACCATGAAGGTGTTGGGAATTCCTAGTATTCCTGTCTCTCCCAAATGCTGGGATTATAAGCGTATGTAATCATATCCAGCTCTATTATGCTTAAGGGAAGTAGAGATGCACCAGCAATGCTTGTGCTCTAGTGAATGGGCAATGAACAGGGGTCTAGTCCAGACTTACCTTTGTGGTCAGAGGGATGATATCCTAGTTATCTTACCCAATGTACCAGGAAGTTCTACAGAGAAAAGTCAATTCTCTCTCTCTCTCCTCTCTCTGTCTCTGTCTCTGTCTCTCTCTCTAAGCATATGGGCTGTCCTTGAATTTGCATATCTCCTGCCTCAGCCACCCAAATGACAGGATCACAGGTGTGTAACACCACATGTGGTTATCTATAAGTCTTCATAGCTAGTATCCAAAGGGAAAGAAAGAGTAAGGACTGTGGAAGTAAGGGGAGGAGGACGCTTTGGCAAAAGACAAAAACAATAGCAAAGTTATGGTCTGGAGAGGACACCCTCTCCTGACTATCTTCTCAAGTGCTGGGGATTAAACCTAGGGCAAGCACATACTCTATCACCACCTCACATGTCTTGCCCTGCATGTTTCATTATACAAACATTCTTAGATGAGGATAACCTTTCCTCCAATATGTCATATAACCAAAAGTAAAGTTGTTATTTTCATCTGCAGGTTTACAAATCCCTGGCTACTAAAAGGACCTTAAGCAGTAAACATTGTAGCTAAAATAGCTGTCTTCCTTAGGACCCAGAGGGCAACAATCCAATATAGCCCAACTCTGGATTCTCAACATCTTTGGAATAATACTAGAGAGGCTATTTATAGCCCAGAAAAGAGGAGCAGTAAGGAGTGGACAGAAGGACAAGTGTGAGTCATGTTTTATTCTGCTCTGAGGAAGGCTGTTTCCAAACCTGACCAAACATAAGTGGCCTTGCAGCTGATAGAACCACATGTACAAGCAGGTGCATAGGAGAAGCTATTGCTGGCAGAGCAAACATGGTGCCAGATAATGCTGAAACGGCAGGCAAAAGGACAACACGAGAGAAAGGCATGAAGAGGGACTGTGCTCCATGATGCTCTCAGAGGGTAGGCAGATCAGGCAGAAGACAAAGTTCTTTCCATCTGAGTTTCTGACTTTTTCCTAAATTGCTTGTTCAGTAACATTTTCTTAATCTTATGAAGAAGCCTGTATGGATACTAGGGCTGAAACAGGTTTTAATACCTGTCACAGAGCAAACTGCTACTTGGTGTGTTATCAAGTTTTCACCTCTCAGGGCCACAAAAGAAAAGGAAGGTAGGGATTAAAGAGGACTTAATACAGTAGGAATACCAGTGCTCTCTTTTTTTTTTTTTTTTTTTTTTTTTTTTGTGCTTTATGGTGTGTATTATCTAGACATATTCATTTGTCTGTGTGCATATTATGTGTGCAGTAACGTGTGTGTGTGATCATGTGGAGGTCAGAGATCGATGTCTTCTTTAGTGGTTGTCCATCTATTTTTGAAGACAGGAGCTCCATCAACCTTAACCTCACAGATTTCAGCTAGAGCCTAGGCAGCAAGTCAAGGGTGGATCTTCCAGTTTCTGCTTCCTTAGCTATGGTATTATAGGCATATGCCACTATAGGTTTTTTACATAAATGCTGGAGATCCAAATTCAGGTTCTCATTATTGCATGGCAAGCACTTTATTGACTAAGTCATCCCCCACATGTCTGGGACTCCTTGTATGCTATGGAACCCTATCATGGATGTCTATAATAACATGCTGCTTTGGCAACCACTGTGAATAGAAGCTATACTTTCTCATACCAAAGGTTGGGTCTTCAGTTCTGTGCCTCCCAGCTCCACAGTGTGATCAATCCAGATGTTTGTCATACATCACTGTTCCTTGACAACCACCTACTTGTGGTCACCTAGATACAGCCTGTGTGTCTGGGCTGACTCCCATACCCAGTGTGGACTGTACAGATATCACAACACAGCCACCTGAAACTTGTGCCTACTTGCTTTAAACTTACCAGTAAAAACTTTTTACAGGAGACCTGTTTGTATGCTGATACCAAACAAAGCTTTGGCCTATGGATCCTGTCTCTCTATTCCTGCCTATACTTCCCTAACCTATGTGTATTGACTTCTAGGTGTGAGTAATAAAAGCTTCATATTTATGTCTTCCCTAATTCATCATAAAAATCTTAAAATCAGAACAGTATGATCTGGCTGAGTTTGCAATTTCAGAGCCTTCTGACAACTTCTGTGCAGAGTTTTCTAAATTGAGTGACAGCAGTTCTAACAGCAACCCTCCCTCCCATGCAGTTACAGCCCCTGGGGGCCCAACTTGTACTTCTTTGTACCAATCACAACCATTCAGACTCAGTAGTATCTGGCCTGCTACCACCATCTTTATATCCTGGGCACTCCTTCTATCTTCTCTTCTCCTGCAGTTGGACTCTGACCTCTCCTGTTGCTGTTCTTCCATGACTGTCATTTACCATTCCCAAGGCCATCATTTCTGACAAAAAGATTCCCAGAGGAAGAAAAAAAGAGTTTCCCTACTGCTAAAGATTTTGTTTGTTTTTCCTGAGACATATGTGGGAACTCAAGAATAATATGTGTACCAAGGAATAAAATTTTATTCTTTGACTATGTGTGCAATGCTATTTCCTAGTTTCATTAATATAGACAATTCATCAAAGGAAGTTTGATTTTTTAAGCATCTATGAGGGACAAAAGTTTTCCAGGCTGGCCCGTGAATTTCATTCCCCAGAGGAGTGGGAAAATGTTTCAGTGTAATAATCAGTTTAGTAATGACCATTATAAACTACCTTTCCTTCCTCTATCATGGAGGCAGGAAAATCTAAGTCTGGCAGGAGAAAGGGGAGAGAAAAAAAAAAAAAAAAAAAAATCAAAGGGGTTGGAGTGATGGCTCAGCAGTTAACAACACAGGCTGTTCTTGCAGATGACCTGGGTTCAATTCCTATAACTACACAGCAGCACACAATGGATCTCACAATATCTTCTGGTTTCCAAGGGTACCAGGCATGCACACGGTAAATAGAAATATATGCAGGCAAAACACACATACACATAAAATAATTATAAATGAAATCAAAGAGCAGACATCTTTAGTGGTGTCATAATTCTATACATATATTGTCATATATATACATATTTGCAAATCTGATAACTGGTGTGCTAAGTCGTCACTCTCATTTTTACTCATGTTATGGGGGGGGGGGTTGAGCCTCTCTAGGCCATCCCCACAGTACATGTTTACTGTGATAAAAAGGTTTCAATGAGGGTGGAAATACAGACCATTTGATGACATTAAGAAAAACAAGTGTTTAGAAATATCTTAAGACACACAGTGTGGTTCCTGCAATGTTCAATTCCAACCAACATCCTCTTTATAAAATGCATGAAAATCTCCAGAATGTGGCTTGGAGATCAGGAAGTTGGTGACACAGGTTCCCTTTCAGGAGGATGTCCAATGACATCCTGATAAAGGAAGACACAGGATAGTGCTTGCCCATGTAGGGGCAAGCACTGGGGGGGAGGCCAGAGATGCTTCTGCTGCAAGCCTTGTGAAAGGATTCTGCACTTGCAGTAGAAGTACTTAGTGTGATAGACAGTCACAAGACACTGTAGATTGTGGAATAAGATGAACTGATGGGTAGGTATACACAAGCATCCCTTTTAGGTTGTGACCTACATGTTCCATATGCACTTCATCACCGGTCTCCTAGGTACTAAATACCTGGCACTTTAATTCCATCTTTGGTAATTAATTTGAAAGAGAAGGACTGCTCGGCTGACCCACCTCATAGAAGAGTCCTTCTGGGAACTGCTGGAAGCACTGAGCACACACAAAGCACTGCTCATGGTACAGCTCGCCATTACTGTTCACGATCTTCTCAGCAGCTGCGAAGCCCCCCTTGCAGCGCTCACACGTGGCACTGGCCAAGGCATTGGCCATGTTGCTAAAACACACAAAGGACAAGGTATAGATTGTTAACTTATAATTAGGCTTAAGATCAAATGACATCAAGAACTGAGGAGCAAATTCTATCTGAACATAAAACTCATATTTTATTCATAAAACCAGGTTTCACAAAAACTGTAAGTTAAAATGCCCAGTCTCATTAACTAAGCCCTTGGGTTTCTGAAAGGGCCTCCTGCTTTGCTTTTGCTTGAATTTAGCATTTTTTAGCATTTTTGTAAGCAGTGTTAGATATTAAGAACACAAATTCGAGCCAAGAATTCCCTTAGCGAATGCAGTGGGATACACCTGTAGTTCCAGCCTTTAAGGAGGTAAAGGCAGGAAGGTTGCTTGAACCCAAGAGTTCAAGAACAGCCTCGGCCATATAGCCACAGTAAGACTGTCTCAAATAAATAATCCACGAATAAATGCTTCCCTCAAGGACTCAGGCTTATAGCTGGATAAGTAACTTTAGTTAAAAATATACATGATAATGTCTTTAAAAAAATGTTCTTTGCTGTGAATACAATATATAGATCATAATGCTCCCCACCTCCAGCAGGACTCTCCATTCCCTATCACGCTCCCAACTTCATGACTCCTCCTCCTCTCATAACATACTGAGTCTAATTAGTGCTGCCATACCACTGGATCATAGGCAACCTGCAGTGAGTCACACTACAAAAGAAAACTGATTTTCCCTCCCCTAGGCACCATCAATTGCCAATAATAGCTTCATGAGGTGGGGCCTCATGAGCTCCTTTCCTCTCTGAAATGACAACTTAAAACCAATTTCTTTCCTTTTAAAGAACAAAATCTAAACTTCATGTAACTGAATATCATATTATAACCTGAATTCAGATTATACCTTTGACTGGATCCTGTTGAAAACAAGTTCTTAAAACCTCTGAAAACTGGACAAGTTGCCTCAGTTCTATTAAACAGTACAAGATAACACTGAATACTAACAATATAAAATTTATCTTAAAATCACAGAATTTTATATAATAAAGATCATTTTCCAGATAGAGGAATAGGTTCAGAGGTGGGTGATGAGTTCAACACCACTGAGCTTGCTTCTTAGTTAATGAGGTGACACAGGAGTAGAATCCAGGCTCATCCATCACAGATCAGAACCTTACTGCAAACTCTGGAGAGTTCATGGTAGGGATGCAATCATGTTTTGCAGGTCAGGAAAATGAAGCCAGGCAGTAGACAGCAATGAGTGACTCTGACAGATCTGTCATGAGCAACCCCATTACACCTCAAAATACAGGATGTATTCAATGAATGATCTGTTTTCTCTAACCACTGGTGCTTCAGATGAAAGACAATATGACTGAGGCAAAGAATCAGGTGAGAATTTCACTAATAACTACTTTGTTTCTGAAAGTTCTAGAAATGGAGAAGGTTCCCTATGCTGAACAGTCACTGGCCCACTTATTCTACATAGTTTTACAAGTTGCTTTTTTGTTTGTTTTGACTTGTTTTTTGTTTTCACAGGCCTGTACCATAAGCAAGTCTGCCCCAGTGGCAGAGCTTCTGACTTTTCAGATATTTCTTTGGTTTACCACTACCAATGCCAGGAGACAGATGGTGTGCAGAGCTTCTAACTTCACAGATACTGTAAGCAGATGCCTTGCTCCTACCTCCTTCGAAGTTTGGCTGTTTCCATAGCAGAAGCACCAGTAGTTATTCTCCACCCCACCCCAATAGAGGACAATTCTACACTTGTCTTCACCCCTCAAATGTTTCAAAGCAATTCTATGCTGTAACCTGCCATAAGAAACTTTACGATGAATTCCCACATTCACCATTTCAGACCAATCAAAACTCAGTTTTAATTAGTAAGCTAAATATAAAATAGGAATGCCACGGGGGAGGGGGGGAGAGGAAAAGATGGCATAGCAAGTAACTGTGCTTGCTGCCAAGCCTGAGGATTTGAGTAGAAGAACAAAATTGACTCCAGCAAGTTATCTTTTACCTCCACATGAGTGCCCACCCCCCAAAAAAACACTTAAAAGGGAAAGGAGGCAGACTCACTATGGGCCTAAGCACTGTGTAAACAAGACTTCCACTTTGTCATCTCAGAATTAATGTGACACAAGAAGATCCCAGATGGATGGTTTTAATTAAGTCCTGGAGAGATTTGTGCACCCTCTTTTCTTACAGAGAGAATGGCTGAGTGCAGAAGGAAGCTAAGCCACACCTGCTCAAGAGTTCTCAGAAGCTGTTTGAGGATTAAATAATAAAAAGTTGAACCACTCTGCAAAGCAGAAACGGCTACTAAAAGACATGGTATCATTCTCATTCTAAATTCTTTCAAGGACATCTCAAACTCAGTAGCTGTCATCCTTGCCCTGCCCTGACACAGGCTTTCTCTGTGTAACCACCCTGGCTGTCTTTGAAATCTTTCTCAGTAGACCAGGCTGGCCTCAAACTCAAAGAGGGATCAAAGGCATGCACCACTACCAACAGGCTAGACCTCAGTAATTTTAATGAACTTCCCAAAAACCTGGAGAACATTCTGTAATGTCCCAATTTGCTACCACTTAACTCAGTGAGTCTCAAGGTATGGAAATTCTGAAGTGCCCTCTCTCTGCCACTTCTTTATGCAGAATCAGATTGTAGAGAAGTTTGCATCAAGAAAAATACCAACAAAATGTGCAAATATGTAGGGCAACAGCATTCTTTCCTCTATATTATCAATGTGTAATGAGTTACTTTTTTTTTGTTTTGTTTTTGTTTTTCTAGACAGGGTTTCTCTGTGTTGCTTTGGAGCCTGTCCTGGAACTAGCTCTGTAGATCAGGCTGGACTCAAACTCACAGAGATACACTTGCCTCTGCCTCCTGAGTGCTAAAATTAAAGGCATGTGCTGCTTGCTGCTGCTGCAATCAACCCCCCCCCCCAGCTCCTTTTTGTGGTGGTGCTGAGACAATATAAAGGAGTCCCTGGAATAAAAAAATGCTATTTCAGACAGACTTTATGTCTGTCTGAAAACTCAAGTAGAACTGGTAAATGGATAGACAGATTAATATTCACACACACACACACACACACACACACACACACACACACACACACACTTCAGTAATAAAGCAGGAACAGGAAGGACACAGTAATCACTTGCCTTCCAATTGACCTCATGCTTCCCTTTCCTCTATCTTCTTGTTTGTTGGCTGGTTAATTTTGTTTTTTCTTTTTTTGAGACAGGGTCTTATGTAGACCAGGCTGGCCTCAAATTCCTCATCCTCTATACCTCCCAAGTGTTGGGACTGCATGCTGCTCTCTTGCCTGACTTTCCAGTACTGTTCACATTTTTTAATAGCTGATAATATTTAATATAACATATGATAGAAGTTATTTTTTAAGAGACAAGTCATTAGATTGGTTATACCCAATTTTCTAGAAAATGTTTTTCACTAAAAAGTGTTGCTGATAAAGAAGCTATGTGAGTGGTGTCTATGGGAGCCTCTAGGAAAGTGTCCTGACTGGTCAGCAAGGATTGATGTTATGGACTTAACCTCTACAGATCCCCTGATCAGGAAACTACAATCAAGCGTTTTAATCTCACATCTTATTAATCATTACACGTGAAACAAATTTTCTGCTCTTAAAATACAACAGTGTGCAAAATTGTTACCAAATATCCTGAATTTACTAGTCACCTCAAATATTGGCTATGGAATAATTCCCCAGCGAAGTGGTGTTTCTCAATTAAAGTTTTAGTTTCACCTTTGAGAACTACTTTCAGAGTATATTTTTTTCCTGTTATAGATCCTGACAACATAATGTGCCAATTTCTCTCATGGATAACACAATAAGAATGTGTACCATTATTAGAAAGATGAAACCTTGCTACTCTTCCCAGGAAGATGGCATTTTCTTTGACATCTGTTATGTCCTCTGGTACAAGTTTACAAGACAAGGCAATCTGTGAACCACCCCGAACCCTTGGTACACCCTGGAAAAAACTGTGCTAAATTAAAACATATTAGCTGCATCAAAAGGCTAGGGGATGCAGAGCTGCAGAGCTGGAGGTTTGAAAGCTGGCATTCTGGGAGGGAGAAACTCACAATTTCGCATAAAAATCACAAAATTCCTTGTAGACTTTTACATCACTGTGCCTGCGCTGCAGCTTGGACACAGCTCTCTCATCTTCATTCCCATTAGTTTCCAGGACACTGTTAAGGACCGTCCGGGGGATTTCTTCATTCTCTGGGATAGTGCACGGGCGTGATGGGCCTGGGAAGGCCATTGTACAGGCTTCAGAGTTCAGAGTCCTGTGATTCTGAGCAGGATACGGAGAAGAGAAACAATATCCAGGCCTCCTGTTTCCCAGCCAGGGTCACTCCCACTGTTCCCACATGCGTCACCCAGCTGCCAAGGTTGCTACTGACTTTTCATGTTAAGAGCTCAGTAGCACAGCAGTCTGGGTCTATTACAACTTTATGGATCTCAAAAACAGCAGTGACAATCTGTTTCTGAGCAGTTCTCCAGCAAGGATCTGTGAGTTCCTGAAATTAAGCTTTATGTAGTCTATTATCTTTGCTCTTCATACAATAAACAACATAGTAAGGACTTCAACAAATGGGCACAGTATAAATTAGAAAGAGCTAGAGTTCAGTTGTAATCCTTCTATTTCATCCCAGCTAACCCTGTAACAGGAGTCACGGATTCTTCATGGTGTTCCTGCTATATTTAGTTTAAACTACTATCTTGTAATTGTCATGAAGATAATAACAACAGCATAGCAAGAGGCTACACAAGGATTAAGGTTTTTTTCCTTTTTTGTTTTTAACTATTCATTGTACATCATACATCCTGATCCCACTCATCTCCCCGTTCCTCTTGCTTCTACCCTTTGCCCCTGCAACCTCCCCGAAAACAAAACAAAATTTAAAAGTAAAACCACAAACAAACAAACAAACAAAAAACAAAATCTCGTCCTCCACTCAGTTACCACAAGTTCAAAACCTTCCATTGAATATAACTCCTGCTCACTGCCAAAAGAAACCAGTGATCTGTAAAGAGATATAATGACCACATATGACTGCACTAAGAACCTAAAATGCTTCTGACAACTGAGCCAATAAACAACCTCTTATTCTTCGCCTGTGACTTCTCCCACCACCAGCCTGGAGGAAGGCAGAGCTGACACATAGCTCAGTGCCTCCAAGCCAGCAGACCATGCAGCAAAACATTTCTTTGCAAAAACTTGATGCAACAGAATTGGCTTTTAGGCATATCAGGTAGTCATTACTCTGGATCATGTATCACACTTATTTAAAGCAGCAAGTAAATCTTTTATTCAGTTTCCTCTATTGGCAGCTAAGTATTAAGACTCCCATCCTTGAGGTTTATTTCATTTTGTTTTTGGAGACAGATTTTCATAGCCAGCTCAAATGTGCTATGTAATGGAGGCTGGCTTTGGCTCTCACTCTTTCTGCATCTAGATCCTAAAAGCTGAGATTATAGACAAGTACAATTATGCCCAATTTAAACAGAACATTCTTCTGTTAGTTTTTTTTCTTCCTCTTTTCTTTTTTGGACAAAGTCTCATATGGTAACCCAGGCTTGCCTCAAATGTATGGTTCTTTTGCCTCAGCCCTAGAATGCTGGGATTATGGGCATGTGCTAAAATACTATACATATACATTGACTTTTACTGTCATAGTAATTGTTCATATCAGTGTGGTGCAGCATCACACACACACACACACACACACACACACACACACACACACACACACCAGACAGACCAGGGTAACTGCCTTTACTGATCATCTTTGTCATGTATCATTTCTTTGGGGAAAGTATGGAAAAATTCAAAATTTTCTCTACTAGCTATTTTAAAATATTCAACTAATTGTTGCTAATCAAAGTTATTCAACTGTACTATAGCACATGTATCACAAAAAGTTGTTCCTCTGTATCTGGGTTTCCACTGACCACCCTCTTTTCATTACCCAACCTTTTCCCTTGCTTAGTCTCTGGTAACCACTTTTAGATAAACTTTTAGCTTATGAATACAAGTGAAAACATGCAGGATTTTTGTACTTAGTTTTATTTCATTTAAACAATGGTGTCTAATGCTGAAGTGACATGATTTCTTTCTGTTTTGATGGCTAAATAATATTTTGTTTTGTGTATGTGTATGTACATCATATTCCTTGATACTGGAATTTATGGAATAAGATTCATTACTTACTGAGTGGCAGCAATCTTCTTCAGGCTGGTAAAAAGACCAAACCAAACAACAAAGTCTGGATAACAGAAATTGGCTGAATACAAAATTCAAAATTTCACCTACAATCTTAAACCTCAGGCTGTACACAGCGGAAGATAGGCAACAAAATATCTTGAGATTCTGTGATGTTATTTGCAGAAGGTGGAATTCTATTTGCAGTGTATGATAATCGGCATTTTCCTGGGGAAGGGAGAACTACAATTCTTTTATTTCAGTAGGGGAAGGCACAGGATAGTCAGAGAAAAAGAATCCTAATTCATAAGGAGAAATTCTGACACTTAGAGGTGATTCTATTAAATAGGGTCAGCTACTTGAGAAAAGTGTGGGCAGAAATGAAAATTACAGGAGACTAGAGAATATGGCAAGAAAGAAGCTTTTAAAATTCAAACTGAAATCAAGTGTAAGAAGAGAGATAGTGGGCAGTGGAGGCACACATCTTTAATCCCAGCATTCTGGAGGCAGGGACAAGGAGGACTCTGAGTCTGAGATCAGCCTAGTCTGCAGAATGAGTTCCAGGACAGGCTCCAAAGCTACAGAAAACCCTATCTTGAAAAACGACAAGAAAAAAAAAAAAAAAAAAAAAAAAAAGAAGGAAGGAGGAAGAGAAGGAGGAGGAAAGAAAGGAAGAAAAGAAATAAAGATAACAAAGGTGGTTTAGTATATTAGTAAATGCATGGCCACTTTTTAAACTTAAAAAAAATATTTTATTTTGTGTGTGTATGGTTTTGCATGCCAGTGCAGTGCCAACTGAGATCAGAAGAGGGTATCAGACCCCCTGGAGCTGGACTTACAGGAAGTTGTGAACTGCTGGACATGGGTGCTGGGAACAGAACTCAGGTCCTCTGGAAGTACAGAAAATGTCTTAACTGCTGAATCACCTCTTGAGCTCCCATTTTATATCTTTGGAGCTACAATTTATTGTGTACTCCAGACTGTTCTATTAGTCTATTTTTACACCAGTACTATGTTACTTAGGTTACCAATTACTAAGGAATGCTTTAGCTATTTGAAGTCTCTGGCTCAATCCAAATTTTAGGAGTACTTTATTTACCTCTGCAGAGAATGTCACTGGTATTTTTCTTTAATTTTTGTTTATCTAATGTGTATGAGTGTTTTCTTCATATATGTTCATGTATGTTTGGAGGACAGAAGAGGTTGTCAGATCCCTTGGGGTGGAGTTACACATGTGAGTCACCATGTGAGCACAGGATTAGTCTGGGTTGTCTGCAGAGCAGCCAATGCTCTTACTCCCTAAATTACCTCTCTAGGCTCCACTGATATTCTAACAGGAACTGAACTTGTTGGTAACAATTCGTGGATATATGTTTTCCTAATCTGAGGACCTCTTATTTTCTCTCATCACTGGTGATTTTCAAAGAGATTATTTCATTTCTTTCCATGGTCATGTGATGGCTAAATTCAGTTCCAGATCTTTCCTTCTTACCCTTCTTCCCCTTTTTACCAAATGTTTTAATCAATCAGCACAGATTTACAAGTTGTAAGGGAAATTTATGGCTGTGCCTCTTGGTTTATATTTTTCAGATCATTTTCTTATCTGTTCTCAACCCCCTAGAGTTTCTCTGTGTAGTCCTGGCTGTCCACAAACTCACAGAAACACCCCTGCCTCTGCCTCCCAAGTGCTAGGATTAAAGGTGAGTGCCACTCTACTCCCAGCACTCAAAGATCCCTTAATTGTGACCCAGACAGAAAGGAGGCAAAGCTTCTGAAGGAAGAAAGAGATCTGTCATCTGCAGCACACATTGCTGTCACACTGACCTCTTACTAGGAACTAAGACCCAACCAGTTGATTCTCAGTATAAACACAAGGCAAGGAAAGTTTTTTTTTTTTTTTGTTTGTTGCTGGGTCAGGACTTCAATACATACACCAGACAGGCCTCAATTCAGAGACCTTCCTGACCCTGCAGGGATTGGAGAATTGGGCATCAAGGAATGTCCGATTGTTGGTTTTGGTTTCTGAGACAGGAACTCATATGATAGTGCAGGCCAGCCCAGAATTCAACAGTAATCCTCTCAGCCTCCTCAGTGTTGGAGTCATAAAAGCCTTCACATACTGCTCCAAGTTAATTCTTTGTGCCTTATGTATCTGCTTTTACTATAAGAGGGGAGCCACAGTGAGGATTCCAAGCCAACTAGGAGGATCAGGATATACAATGTCTTCTACTGCAAAGGTGACAGTCAACAAGCTTTGGGATTTTAGGAATGAGTAACAGCAAACATGGGTTAACCCTCCTTTAGTAGCTACTCTGATAAGATCTATATATTCAACTATATACTCACATTCTTTTACTGTTCACATCACCAGGAATGCCCAAAATTCTTACTAAGTGCTCAGGTGACCTCCTAATAAGTACATATGTTGAATAAATAAACAAGTGAATACAAGTCATAACCTCTCCTTCTCTGAGTATACAACGCAGGCAGGGAAACAACACGTAATTGTTTTTGTTATAGTTGGGCAGAGAGTGGAGGCTGGGGTAAATGCTTGTCTCCTGGAGAAAGTTCACACAACAACCTGTCTCAAAAGGTCAAGACAGAGACTAGGAAGATGGCTCATAGATAAAGCACTTATTAGAAAATCAATGAATTTGAAGACTGAGTTCAGATCCCCAAGACCCACATAAATGATGAGCAGCTTGTCTATAATTCTAGTCTCAGAATGCAGCAGAGACAGAGGGTCCCTAGAGCAAGCTAGCTAGAAATACTAACTATATCAACAAGCTCTGAATTTAAATGAGATACTCTCTCTCTTTCTCTGGCTTTTTAGAAGGGTTTCTCTGTAGTTCTGGAGCCTGTCCTCTTGTAGACCAGGCTAGCCTCAATATCCTGTCTCAAAGAGTGATAGAGGATGATGCCTAACATCAACCTTGGCCTCCAAACATTTATTCAGCCACAAACACTTACATACCCATGTGCACACACGTGTATACATACATGAAAAGAAATGCATAAAAAGAAAAACAAAACCAAGGACAACTTCTGAAGAATGACATCAGAGCTGGCCATTGGCC